TTTCATAAACTTTAGAGAAGCAAAAAATAGATAAATACAATTCTTTGAGAAATTTTGTCTCTTAAACTTGGGAGATATTAGAAAGAAATGTCCACTTTCATCTCTTGCCCTTCTTTCTGTGTGCTCGGTTTTCTTATTGTGAATGTGTCTTCCAGGAAGTTCTGTGACACAGAGTTACTGTACTTCTTCAATATATGGAGCCCTCACATGTTTTTCATGCCCATGGAAATAGCTAAATGACTTCTAGGCTGCCCAGTGGCCACAGTAGACTGATGTCTATGGTACACTCTCTACTGGGATTATTCTGAAGTCAAATTCTTACACATATGGAAAGCTATATGCTACACTAATTTCTTAAAAATTCTATACTCCTCAATAAATAAAAGATTTTTAAGTATTGATCAGATATAGCAAAAACAACATATTAAATTTATAAAATATATTATCAAGTTGATAAACACAATCAAGAAAGAAATCAAATAAAACTAGAAAGACACATGCAAAAAAAAAAAATGGAACTAGACCACTCTCTTGCACCATATGTAAGAATAAACTCAAAATGAATTAAACACTTAAATATAAGACCTGAAATCATAAAATTCATGGAAGAAAACACAGACAGTAACCTCTTTGACATTAGTCTTAGCAATATTTTTTAAATATATTTTTCTTTGTTTGAGGGAGGAAGGCAGCAGGAGAGAGAGATAGAAACATCAATGAAGAGAGAGAATCATTGATCGGCCGCCTCCTGCATGCCCCCACCACAGGTAGAGCCCACAGTCCAGGCATGTGCCCTGACTGGGAATTGAACTGTGACCACCTGGTTCGTAGGTTGACCGAGCGATACCAGTCAGATGGTCTTAGCAATATTTTTTCTTTATATGTCTCCTCAAGCAAAGGTAACAATAACCAAAATAAACAAATGGACTACATTAAACAAAAAAGCTTTTGCACAGCCGAGAAAATTATCAACAAGACAAAAAGGCAACCTACTAAATGGGAAAACATATTTTCAAATGACATATCCAATAAGGAGCTAATAACCAAAATATATAAAGGACTTATACAACTCAGTATAAAAAAATAAGCAATCCAATTAAAAAATGGGTAGAGGACTGAATAGACACTTCTCCAACAAGGACATACAGATGGCCAATAGACACATGAAAAGAATCACAACATCATTAATCATCAGGGAAATGCAAATAAAAACCACAAAAAGATATCATCTCAGACCTGTCAGAATAGCTATTATCAAAATTCAACAGATAGCCGGAACCGGTTTGGCTCAGTGGATAGAGCATCGGCCTGCGGACTGAAAGGTCACAGGTTCGATTCCGGTTAAGAGCATGTACGTCGGTTGCGGGCACATCCCCAGTAGGGGGTGTGTAAGAGGTAGCTGATCGATGATTCTCTCTCATCGATGTTTCTAACTCTCTATCCCTCTCTCTTCCTCTCTGTGAAAAATCAATAAAAAATATTTAAAATAGCCAAAGCCAGTTTGGCTCAATGGATAGAGCGTCAGCTTGGGGACTGAAGGACCCGGGTTCGATTCCGGTCAAGGGCATGTGCCTTGGTTGCGGGCATATCCCCAGTAGGGGGTGTGCAAGAGGCAGCTGGTCGATGACTCTCTCTCATCGATGTTTCTAACTCTCTATCTCTCTCTCCCTTCCTCTCTGTACAAAATCAATAAAATATATTTTTTAAAAATATATTTTAAATAATAATAATAATAAAAATTTAAAAAATAAAAAATAAAAAAGTCAACAGATAATAAGTGTTGGCAAGGATGTGGAGAAAAGGGGGACCTTCATGCACTGTTGGCAGGATTGTAAATTGATGTTGTCACTATGGCAAACTGGATGAAGATTCCTCAAAAGAATAAAAGATAGAACGACCGAGGTGTCCATCAATAATAAAGAAGATGTGGTACATGTATACAATGGAATATTATTCAGCCACAAAAATAATAAAATCTTGTCATTTGCAACAACATGGATGGGTTCAGAGAATATTATGCTTCATGAAACAAGTTGAATAGAGAAGGACAAATACTAATGCTCTTACTTATATGTGGAATTTTAAAAAACCAAATGAACAAAGCAGAAATGGACTATGGATACAGAGTTGCCAAAAAGGTGTAGGTGAAGTGAATGGGCAAAAAGGGTGAAGGGAAGTAAGAGGTGGAAATTTCCAATTATAAAATAAATAAATCACAGAAATGTAATGTACAGAATAGGGAATATAGTCAGTAATAGTGAAATAATTTTGTATGGTGACAGATGGTTACTACACTTCTTGTGGTGGTCACTTTGTAAGGCATAGAAATGTCAAATCATTATGCTATACACCTGAAACTAATATAATATTGATGGCAACTATAATTTTTAAATCAATAAGTTTAAAATAATAAATAAAAATATGCCGAAACCAGTTTGGCTCAGTGGATAGAGCGTCGGCCTGCAGACTGAAGGGTCCCGGGTTCGATTCCGGTCAAGGGCATGTACGTTGGTTGCGGGCACATCCCCAGTGGGGGGTGTGCAAGAGGCAGCTGATCAATGATTCTCTCTCATCGATGTTTCTAACTCTCTATCTCTCTCTCTTCCTCTCTGTAAAAAAATTAATAAAATATATATATATAAAATAAAAATATAAATATAAGCTATATAAAATCAAATATTTTTTAAAGTAAAGGAATCAGCCCGGCCAGCATGGCTCAGTGGTTGAGCATTGACATGTGAACCAGGAGGTCTCAGGTTTGATTCCAGGTCAGGGCACATGCCGGGGTTTTGGGCTCGATCCCCAGTGTGGGGCATGCAGGAGGAGCCGATCTCTATTCTCTCTATCATTGATGTTTCTATCTCTTCCTCTCTGAAATCATTTTAAAAAATAAATAATTAAAATGAATAAAGAAATCAACTAGGTGGCATTCAAATTTTTAAAGGTATTTAAAAAATACAAAGTTTGAAGGAACATTTGAATTTGTGTGTGTGTCTCTCCTCAAGTGTGCGTGTGTGTGTGTGTGTGTGTGTGTGTGTGTGTGTGTGTGTGTGTGTGTTTAGGTAGACAAATTGGGTTTGGTTATTGGAAGATGAGTATTTATATGTTTATTTCTTTGAGTTCATCATGGGAATCTAAAAAAATTTTTTTTTTACTTGTTGTAAGGTCCCAGCTCTCTAGGGAAGGGGCCATAATTTATGATCTTTACGCCGAAGGTGAAAGATCTGGTGCTGTGCCCAGGTGGGGCTAAGAGAGTAAAAGAGTATGAAGGCTGGGCAGCTGGCCTCAGCCCAAGAAGGACAATCAGAAGGGAGTTTTCTCCTGAACTAAGGAACTACCCACTATGAAAATCTGGCCTAATAGATAGTTCCCCTGGCATCATATTAGCCAGTTCTTTATCCTTCACTCGGGGAGCAGAAGTGGGTGCTGAATATTCTCTCCAGCATGCTCCCCAAAGGGGAGGGGAGGTATGAGAAGCAGCTCCAGAAAAACTCCCCTCTGACCTTTCCCCTCCCACCCCAACCTGCTAGTCTATCCATGAACTGACAACCCATTCTTTCTGAGCTCTCCATTCTGTTCCTGTGGTTATTTATGTTTGCAAGCCAGTTCTATTGTACCCAATTATCACTATGGGTTCTGTAATATACCTCAGTATCTGGTGGTGTGTGTTCTAAAGGACATTTCATAGATAGACTCTAATTTCTCTCCTTCCTAAGGGAAAGAGAAGGCAGAAAAACATATTATGAATGTTCTCTCTCACAAGTTGGCATCTTCAGGGAAAACCTGTATGCTGACTTTGTTTGAGGCACAGCCTGTAAGTTGAAGGCTCCAAAATGTATGTCCAGACCTTGATCCCCTCTTTGTTTCTGCAACTGCTTCCGCGCTGGCCTATCTGCCTCCAGCCTCACTCCCCAGGGCTGCTTAGAGTGACCTTTCAAAACTTGGTATCTGCATATGTCACCGTACACTTCAAACCTTAGCCCCACAGGATGAAACACAAATTTCTGAGTTGCATAATAGACCTCTGTGACTCAGAACCCTGCTTTTCTAACTTCAGAGGAGCTCTCTAGACAACCCCCACCACTTGTACCCAACACTTCAGCCATTCCTCATTACCTCTGTTCTAAAATTCATCTGTCCTTGTTCCTCTCTCCCAACGTTTGTACTTGCTACTTCCCTTGGCTTACACAGCTCTCTACCCTCATCCCTCATTTCCCCATTTCTACATTCCAGTTCCAGAGTTCTCCCCTCCATGGAGCCTCCCAACTCCCCTCTCTACCCCACCCCACACCCCACCACCACCACAATGCACAATGCTGCAGTGTAATTACTTCTGTGCTTCTCCCTGGGCTTGAGAACTCAGAAAAGAAAGAGGCTCTCGATAAAGTGTTCACTGGGAAATGAACTTAAGCAAAGGACCAGCAGATGGCTGGATCAAGTTTTAGAGGCCTCTGATCTTCAAGCAGGGAAGTGAAGTTCATGCCAAATCACTGTGTGGACATTCCTGGGCACGGAAGTGATGAGAATAAACACCTGTTTTAGTAAAAGTAAACTAGCAATGCCATGTGGAATGGAGTGGAGGATGGCGCAACACTGGGCTGGAAATCACAGGAGGAGGCTGCTGCAGATGACAATGGAAGAATGGAAAAGCTGCCAAAAGCAAGAATGGAAAAGAGGAGCCATCCTTGTGAAGCTCTAGCTGCTGGATCTGCAAACATTCTAGAAATGCTAATAGTAGCAGCAGTTGTCAACTATCATGGGCAACTAAGGAAGGTGACACACACACAACTTCCTAGGTGAACACCCCAGGCTATGGGTTCCTGACTCTCCTGCATTTCAATTTTTATCTCCATCCTCGACGTCAGTGGATTTAAGAGAGCTAAATGTCCATGAAGTGAATTTAACCTCATTCTGTTCTCTATTCATCGTTGTTTGCCCAAAAGGTGGCAGGATGGGGACCTGCTGGGAGGAGACCCTCCTACCTGAGCTCCATCCGGCAGCTATGGTTCCCGCTCAGAGGACACGTCTCCCTCGGCCCCACTGCTGGCACTGCGGTCTTCTTTGCGAGGAGCGTTTCGTTCTTTGCTTGATTCAGAAGGCCCTTTGGCTCTGGTCTTTTCTTTCCTCTGCTGTTGTTTTTCAAGCTTTGACAGCTGATTATCAAAAGTAAAAAAAAAAATTTTTTTAATTATTTTACAGATGTAAACATGTGCCTAAATATCCAAAACACCAATTACTTCACAAACAGCAACCACTGAAAATGCTTTTATCGGATAACCTGGTGACCACAGAGGTTCCCATGTGCCAAATTATACACAAAATGTTTACCAGTCAAGTACCTGCATCATGAACACAGATTAGCCATACATGTGATCTCTCTCAGACTCTTAGTTGTATTTTTTCTTTGATGTCACTATAGTTTTTTCTTACCATCTTCCCATTTACTGTTTTTTTAAAGAGTGATCAAAACACTCCACTATTTGCTAAAGATAAGAGAGAGGCTATGAATAAAGTACATTATTCAGACATCGTTTTTGTTCTTTGAGACTGTACTTGACTCGTTCACAGCCAAAACTCCACATGCTCTTACCAGGCTGGTGGTGGCTACACAGGGACACTGGCCAGGGGAACCCTCTCAGATGTCCTCCAGACCATCTGGGGACATGCCTGCAACACCCAACCCCAGAGGATCCTGAGTCTACTTATCCCCTGCATATCTCCCCTAACTATCCAAAGAAACCACAGACTAGATGATCAAAAGAAACTTAGATCATCTGACAGTCTGAGCAACAGCACAGCCACTCCAGAAAGGCCTGCTGAGACACGTGCTGAGAAGACTGGCCAAATTTTGATCCGTGGGGTTTTCTTGGACCAAAAAGTCATCTGGAATAGTCCAAGGGACAGCAACACCCAGTTCCATCTGCCTCCCAGACCACGACTGCAAATATTTTCTGGTTCACATGGAAAGGAGGATACAATACAGGGCAGGCTTTTCTCAACTGATTCCTGCCCATCGCCAAAGATGAAGAAAAGTCACTGTGACCAAACCACCAGATCGTCTCTATATTACAAATGGACTTTGAACTAAATCATTAGGTAGGTCAACAATCAGTAGCTCTCGATTTGGTCCAGAAAACCAATTTTATGGATAGCTGACTTAGAATGTTATCTTTCCCATTCCTCGTTTACCTGAAAGGCTGGATACTAAACAACCAGGTTGGTTAACATGCTCACTAGATTTTGTGAATGAAGACCTCACTAACTCTCCTCCCAGGTCACTCCCCTAGATAAATTCACACTCATGTGGGCAGGAAAGGCTCATAGGAAAGTGCACTGCAGTGTGTCTATATTAGCAAAAAAAAACCCTAGAAATAACCCAAATGTCTACTGACAGGAGGATAGATAAATATAATGTGGTGCAGTCACAAGAAGCAATAGTATAAAGCTGTTCTACATGTGTCAGAATAGATAAGTCTTTAAAATCATGTTAAATGAACTAAATGAAATTTCAGAAAGCTGTATAAAGCAGGATTCCATTTACACAAAACAACACTATGTATTCTAATGGGTTCATGAAGACCCATTATGGACTGGAAAATACAAACCAACTTCAGTACATTAGTTAACTTTGGAGAGAAAGAGACAAGAATGGGATCATAGTGGAATGAATAGATATGGACTTCAACTGTTAACTTTCACTTCTATAAAAACACAACCAGATCTAGCTGCTGACCAGAGCCACTACATGAACTGCTTGGTATTGGCACTTGGACCACTGATGATAAGATACTCATGCCAGGATATAAACCAACACACAGCTTCCTTCCTCGATAAAAACTTGCTATGGAAAATGTATCAGCTACCGGACTGTGTGCTTAGTGGTGTGGCTCATTTCATTCTAGTGAAAGCTCTTGTCTTGCCACAGTCTGGTACAAACAGTTCGTGTGCAGTCACTTCAAACAGGAAAGACCTGGAGCAAGGACGACAGACGGTTAGCCATTTTAAAAATCAGAGTAATGGTTATACAGAATTCCTGTTTGTGTTGTTCTCTGTACTGTTTCTTTTCCCTGGATGATTATTTTTCTCGGTACTATTCTACCACAGGTTAGGGAGGAATTTCTTGAAGCTAAGATGACAGCCTTCCTTCCTTGTTTCCCTTTTGATGTTAAAATGCTCTTTTTTTTTAATGAAATGACTAAAGGCCTGGTGCACAAAATTCATGCATGGGTAGGGGCCCTAGGCTTGGCCGGCAATCAGGGCCAATCTGTGGGGCGACAGGCAGGATGATCAGGGGGCCCCCTCTGGCACCCACCTTGGCTGGCCTGGGGCCTGCAGGCTGAGGGCAGCTCCTGCATTGAGCTGCCCCCAGCCCACAACATAAAGACCAGTCATTCTGCTCTTCAGTCAATTTGCATATTAGGCTTTTATTATATAGGATGAGGATAGTAGATGGAAGTTTCCCTTTCTCTCTTGCAAAATGATCCTGGACTGCACCATTGTTCAACTATAAAACTTAAAAATTATTATTAGGGCCCAGCCAGTGTTGCTCAGTGGTTGAGTGTTGACCTATGAATCAGGAGATCATGGTTAGATTCCAGTCAGGGCACATGCCCAGACTGCAGGCTCGATCCCAGTAAAAAGCAAGAGGCAGCCAATTAATGATTCTTTCTCATCATTGATGTTTCTATCCCTCCCTCCCTCTCCCTTCCTCTCTGAATCAATAAAAATATATTTTTTAAATTAAATAAATAAATGGTTATTAGGATGGTAAAATTTATGTTATGTGCTTTTTACATAAAATACAAATTTCATTTTAAAAAATTGATTTAGATGTAATTGACATATAGCATTAGTTTCAGATATACAAAATAATGATCAGTATTTGTATCACAGTTGACCTTTGAACAATGCAGGGATTAGGGGTCCTGACACACATACATACCCTCACTGTGCAATCAAAAATTCATGTATGGCTTGACTTCCCAAAATTTAATTACTAAAAGCCTTACTGATAACATAAGCCATCAATTAACACATATTTTGTATATAATGTGTATTACATACTATATTCTTACAATAAAGTATGCTAGAGAAAAAAAATGTTATGAAAAAAATCATAAGGAAGAGAAAATACATTTTTGATATGTATTGAAAAAAATACACTTATGTTTGATCAATGCAGTTCAAACCTGTATTGTTCAGGGGTCAACTGTTTTGTGAAATGATCACCACAGTAAGTCTAGTTAATATCCAGCACCAAAAAAATGTTTTAATGATCTTGGAAAACATGAAGTTGGCAAGCCATCCTCAACCCTTCCATTTCTTTTTTCTTTTCTTTTTTTATTCCTAGTTCATGAAATCCAAACATCTGGAAATCAATGTTCTGCAATGAACTGTGATACACTGCCTTCTGTCGCCAGCAGTTTACATTTACATTAGTGTCTGTATACGTGTTTATACATGTGTTTATTATGTGTATTTGTGCTACAGATTTTGCATATATATACACCCTATATATAATCATAAACGTACCCAAGTTAGACACTGAAAAAGCATGATTTAAAAAAAAAATGTTTTGTTTCCCTCTTTGAGTAAATATAGAAAATGTGATATATAACCAGCGATATAACCAAACCAAGCCTCTCCTCACTGCTAAGAGTCAACTTCATGCAAAAGTCTGTTTATGTTCCAACCTGTTAGTCACTTTCTACTCTTTAATGTTGAGAAGCCAGATCCTAGGAGGGTGATGGGGAACACTTCCCAATCATAGCCGGTTCTCAGCCCTCCCAGCACTCCTCTGATTCCGCACTGACTCAGAGGTGCCAGAAAAGCCACTTGGACCTTCCACCCCATCCTGGACCATGCTTGTAAATCAGGTGCAATAATTATTTAAGCAATAAGCACAATCCAAGTTTCTGTAAAAGTGTAATGTTGATCCTCTTACAGTCTTTATCTTAAAGCAATCCTAACCACATATGACTCCATGCCTCAAAGTAAAGTTTTCTATGAGAACACAGTGAACCCACCTAATTAACTTAAGCCTTTTCTCAGAAAACTGAACTCCAATGCACCCACAATGTGGAACTTACATCTCAAGGCAAGAAAGCAGTTGATTTTTTTTTTTTAAAGAAACAAATAGAAAAGAAAGAATAAGAGAAAGGAAAGAAATTGGTACTGCATATAGACCATGTATAATGTCAGCAGCTTTCAAATGAGCAGCTAGCTGCATGTCAAGTACAGAAACCACAGCAGGCCCTGGGAACACGTGGTCTACAGGCACTGAAGTGGAGTACCTTTGGTTTCTTGTTTGCTTGCTTTTTTATTAGATGATGAGTGTCCAAACAATACTTGCCTCAGAGAGAAATTCAACCTTTTGAGGCAGCTCTGGGCACACAGAAACTGCCACAAACAGGTCACCATCTTATGGCCAGCCGGCACCTCTCGTGGTGGATCTCAGAAAAGGGGACCTAAGTAGGGGAGACTGAGCTATCTAGAGACAACTGTCCCAACTCGTGATTAAATCCACTGAGAAAAGATGAGATTTTTCATTGTAATTAAGGTATTCCTGCTCTAATTGTATAACACAAAGATAAAGTCATTGATTGCAGGGTTTGGAGTTTCAGTCTTTTCACTTTGAAATGTAAAATGCAAAACAAAAACAAAACCCCAAATACCTCACTATTATTTGTTTTAAATGATTTTAGCTTAACACTTTGGAGCTTAATTTTTGGGGTTTGAGTTGATCACTAAAACAACACCCACTGAGAATGTTAGTACAAACTTTAGATAAAAACTTTAAGAGACAAAATATATAAAAAAAAAAGAGCAAACTAATTGAGCATGGATATTGCAATGTTTTACCACAGGGCTTACAAACTTAAATGCCTGGAAGAAACAAGCAGGTCGAAAAATGAGTCAAGTAACTAAGTATGAGACAATAGGGCATAGTGGAGACTGTGGCCACACAGAAGAGAACAGAATCCACCTTAGGGCATTCACATTTTATTTTTAAACATGTATCAAATATAATGTCCATGGGATAGATATGGGTCACCTTTATGGATGTTACACTTCCACCATGGGTTCCTGCTTGCTCCTAACAACTCAATCACAGGTATATTATCATCAACGTCCCCTGGAGAAGCCACCACCA